GGTATACGGCACCAAAAAGGCACCTATGCATAGGGAGAAAACAATACTACCTCTTTTACCGTTGCAGTTTACCTTTAAATCATACTTGGTATCATTGCTATAAAAGTTTTTTTTATTTTTTTTACCTCCTCCATTCTTGTAGCAAAGATAGGGAAATCTCCACACGTTGCCCAGGCCCACTACATTCCCTGCAACAACTAAAACATATTCTGTCTTACTGGCCCACTGTCCTCTATCTCCAACCCGTAACGGATTTTCAGTTTTTCCTCTCTCTCTACTCATTTCAAAACCTGTGACTTCATCTGTTGCTGGTGTATAAAAAGACGTTGAGTTTTTATCCAGTATTTTACCTAATTTTATTAAAGACTTTTTTTCATGTTGAACAGTATTTGAATAGATTTTAAAGTTGAACACACAATATTTGCTTTGCAAAACTTCAAAGCAGGTGTAGAAGAACTCTTCAGGTCGCTTAAGGTTTTAGAAGTGCAAAACTGCAAGGAAAAAAGTAGATGAATATACTGTAGTCCTTATCCTTAAGAGTGTTGTATTTTCACAAAATGTTGAAAGTAATATGTTGCATTTAGAATTACTAAATATGGACAATCTTTAATACTCATACATTTTTACATGCTTTTTAGTAAAGGTGGAAACCTGAGAGCTCAACAAGCTATGATCACAGTAACACAACAATCTATTACTGTAGTAGGATTAGCAGAACAGTTTTTAATGTAGAAAACAATGTGTCTGTTGTTTAAATTGGCAACTATGCAAAAAATATTGATACCCCTTTAAACTTTTTACAGTTTGTGACATTTCAATTTAATTTGACAACAAGCAATTTTATTGAGATTTTATCCGATGGACCAGTACTAAATAGGACATTATTGTCAAGTTAAATGGTACATCAAAAAAAAAAAAAAAAAAAAAAAACACCAATAAAAATATGAAATGTCGGGCATGTGCTGTATATAAATTCAGATAATTCTTATCCTCCTACACCTACTGTAAATACACCTCTGTGCGATGTCTTACCTTTAGAATACACCTTAATACTAAACAGAGTACATCAATATGTAATTTAGTCCAAGTTTAAATGCAGCTGTTTTGTAAAGGCCTCAGAAGATTGTTGAAGGCATGGAAAAACAGCACCATGAAGACCAGGGAGAAAGCTGTACAGAGGTTTAAAGTAGGGTCAGGTTATAAAACAATAACTCAAGCTTTTAACAATTCACAGAACACTGACAGTTGTGGAAATAGCAGGGCAGTGACAGCAAAAAATAATTTAAAAGGGTTTTAGGTTATCATATGTAAAATATGTCACATTGTGGTAGTTATGCAAACTCTTAATGCTTTTGATCCATCAATAGGTGGTAACTATCAAAAAGCAATGAGAAAACTGCCACTTGAAAAGTTTTGTGGAGAAATTTTTGCCTTTTTATATAGTATGTTGTTTTTTCTTTAAAAATGTGTAGACAGTTTTATGTTTTTCAATTCTCCAGAGAATTTGGAGCCCTAAATGGTTAAAATAATACCATCCTTCAAGTGATTGAAAGTATAGAGGATGATCTTTCCTTTCCTGGTGGATCATCTAAATAAGTGGTCCTCCTAATGTCAATCATTCTGGTGATGGCGTCCTACGTGCTTGTCCATTTAGCTATCTTTTTCTGTGCATGCTCACTTTCAGCATATATCTGTGGTGATATGGCTACGGTTTCAGACAGTCATTCAGCTCACCTTTCTCACCGCTGTTCTTTGAAAATGACTGAAGGTTATAAGAGAAAAAGTGTCTAGGAAGTGTACGAGAGGAAAAGAAAGGCCTCAGTTGCGCAGAGAGCTCTCATAGCAAAGCATTATTGGAGCTATGAGAACAGCAACTTTTAAACAGAATGTGCATGAGGAGAAATGGGCTCATGCATGTTCTCGCACATGCATTTTTTTTTAAGTGGAGAGGGCGGATCTTCAAGAAAATCCTCCACAATACCTTTAACAGGTGTGACCAGAACAGATGTGGTCATCACCAGATTTAGTGGTTTTGATTTGCTGTTCAGGAGGTTCAAAAGGGATGAATACCTTTCAAGAGACTGCAAATAAACGTCCATAAACTTCCAAGTCCCAACGATATTCCCAATTAGGTGCTGAAGACCATATAATTAACTTATAATTTGTTTTCTTATAGTTTTAAATTGACTCAGAAACTCCCCAGTGTTGTGTACTTAGTTCGTCGGACCTGTTCCAGGGCTGCCCTCTGTCACCGGTTCTGTTCATAACCTTTATGGGCAGGATTTCTAGGCACAGCGAAGGACTGGAGGGGGTTTGGCTGGCTCCCTCCTTCCAAGACCTAAAGAGTGCACGGTGGCAATTTGCAGCTGAATGTGAGGTGGCCAGATGAGAATCAGCTCCTCCAAGTCTGTGGCCTCAGCCAGAAAAAGGTGACTTCTCCCCTTCAGGCTGGAGGAGGGTTCCTGCCTCAAAAAGAGTTCAAGTACCGGTACTATATCTTGGGGTCCTGATCCCGAGTGAGGGGAGAATGGATCGCAGGATTGATAGACAGATAGGTATGATTGGTGTTATAAGGCTAACGATGCGGCGGTCAGTCATGGTGAAGAAAGAGCTAAGTGAGTAGGCGGATTTACCAGCGGGTCTATTTTTTCTACCCTCACCTATTGTCATGAAATCTGGATCATGACCAAAAGCACGAGATCCTGGAAGATCCAGGTCCAGAAAGTAAAAGGCCTGTACTGAGATCAGTTCCAACTATTTGCATTTCCAGCTCCACAATGCAGACTAATCACCTGGTTAATGTTGAATTTGTCTGCATCATCAACATCAGGTCATAATTCCTTGTAAGTGCACACTTTCCTGGCAATAAATCTGATTCTGATTCTAGTTACGTTCTAGTTAAGTTAAAGATGAAGGAAAATAAGGCTGGGTTTTTACTTTGTTTATCTGGATTATCCACCTCTGGTGGCTGGTAGGGCATTTACCTGAAGGTCAACTTGCAAACTAATTGACTTAATTACTGTAGGCAAAGCCGAAAATTGGTCTCTTATTGGCTTATTCTATGGCCTTAGTAGAAAACCCACTACAGTTAGTAATAAAGCTGAATTAGACCTACCTGATATGACAAAAAGACTATCAGCTAGATGTATTGTAAGTAAGTTTCAGTTGAATCTCCCCGCGGCTGTGACTTAATTTGATGTCATGATAGAATGACACACCAACTAAAATTCGACTTTCATTGTCGAATAGTCAATTTGGGAAAATTACAACGTGCAAATGCGTTAATGTCTGTTCAATCCCATTAGAGATAGGGTGAGGAGCACCTCAGGCTTTCCCCAACAGAACTGGAGGAGGTGTCTGTGGAAAGAGAAGTCTGGGAGCCTCTGCTGAGACTGCTGCCCAAACAACCTGGTCCCAGATGAATCAAAAGACCACAAGGCGATGACGATATAAGAACAGTGGTAAGAAGTTGTGCATTAATTCAATTCAGTTTATTTATATAGCGCCAATTCACAACACAAGTCATCTCAAGGCGCTTTACAGTTCAACCAGATCATACAGTCAAATTGATACAAAGTTTTCTATCTAAGGAAAACCAGTTGATTGCATCGACTCATTGACTCAAATGCAACCCCTCACACTAAGCATGCTTGTAGCGACAGTGGAGAGGAAAAACTCCCTTTTAACAGGAAGAAACCTCAAGCCAGACATGGGCAATGTGGAGTCAACAAGTCATCTCCATGTCATGTATTTAATCTACCCAGCCAATTAACGAGGTGAGTCCAATCTGCACAGGTTAATTCACGGTGAAGATTGGACTCACCTGCTTCAGTGGCTGGGTAGAACAAATACATGACATGGAGATGACTTGTTGACTCTACAATGCCCATGTCTGCCTCCAGCAGAACCAGGCTCAGTGTGAGCGGCCATCTGCTGAGGCTGACTGGGGTTCAAGGAGACAGAAGCAGAGATACAAAAAGTAACTGTAAAATGCGGCGCCGTCCAGGAAACACACAGCCAGGCAGACGAGCTCCAAGCCAGCTTCCATGTCAGAGGATATAGAGGGCACGTCCAGCCAGTCACAGTCAGAGAAACAGGACTACACTGGAAAACAGGCCGATCTCCAGCATCTATAAACAAGGATGTTGATGGAAGCAGCACAGCTGATATTTCTCTCCAGGATGGAGTCACAGCCAAACAGGAACAGACGAGGCAAAGCTACTATGAGAAAAAGCAGAGAGAGCATAACCTTAGAGATTGAACTAACACATTCTGCAGAGTGGGAGAATAGAGATAGAATGAAGCAGAATGATGAAATGGGGTCCCCATGTCCTCCAGAAGTCTAAGCTTATAGCAGCATAACTATAGAGATAGCTCAGGACATTACAAACAGCTATACCTATAGAGAGTAATAAACAGAAACACTGCAACATTTATATGATAAGAACTGCTGAGGAGACATCCAAGAAGTTTATTTATGAATGTTTGAAGAAAAAAATGCAAGAACCGTTTGTCCTCTTGGAATTAGACTAAACCTTTCAAACAAGAGCGAGGCAAGAAAATGCCTCATGTTGTGTGCTCACATTCAAACTCTTTTTCATAAGTCCTGGAAAGTACTCAAAGCTTTTCATTAGTATATAATTTACATGTAAATGATGACATACAAATTTCTACATTTGAACGCACCTCTGCCAAAAACGAAATATGTTTCTGTTTCTGTTAGTTGAAGGGGGAGACAGAAAGATATCCGATATCATACTGGAGATAGTTTTGTTTCTATTATTTTGTGATATCTTTTTGTAAATGATAAAAATTGGCTGAGATGACCATTTTAGTGGCAGCTTTTTATAAAAAGGTGGAGAAAAACATTATTTTACATTTTCCTAATTTCAAATCAAGCTTATAAAGGGTGTATGCAAATCTTGACCTCTAAAAATGCCTCAGGCATCTATCCCCAACCCCTTAAAAAAAGTTTCTTCTTGTTTAAGAACCCATTTTTTTCCTGTATTACAGAGATATATCCACCTCCAGAGCGTGGATCATTCCATTCATAGAAATAATAGGCAGTTAGTGAGGAAGATAAAAGTTTAATTTAGATTTTAGAAGGTAGATAAACAAAATGGAGGAATCTAAAGATCTTCCAAAGAGCAAACACAGAGAGAAAAGAGAAAATCTTAGAAAAACAGGAGACAGAGGACAGTGGTTCAGTAAAGCTGAATATGTTCTGGTTGTTGCAGGAAGTATTGTTGGTCTGGGAAATGTATGGAGGTTTCCCTACCTCTGCTACAGAAACGGGGGAGGTAGGTTAGAAGTTTGAACTTGATTTAATTGATTTGTCTGTTTAAGAGAGAAGTACTTTCATTTCTCTTTGCGTAGCGAGTACATTTCTTGTTTGTGAATTACAGGTGCGTTCCTGGTGCCTTACGGCCTGTTAGCAGTTGTTTGTGGGATTCCTCTGTTTCTGCTTGAGACTTCAGTTGGTCAGTTCACCCAGGAAGGATTTATCACATGCTGGACAAAACTCTGTCCTCTAGCACAAGGTGAGATGGTGAATAAGAAAACTCTAAAGTCATCTAAAAAAGAAAAAATACTCCATTTCAGAAATATTGAATACAGTTCTTAACTCTTTCTGTTTATAGACGGTCTGTGTAAAAACTTTGCATTTCCTTTGCAGGAATTGGAGTTGGACAGCTGATGATTTCACTTTGTTTCTTCATCTACATTTTGATTGAAGCCTGGGCTCTCTTCTACCTCCTGTTCTCGTTTAGGTCCCATCTTCCCTGGGCCAGCTGTAACAACACCTGGAACACAGGTAAGATGATTAAAAATACTTTGCTGATTTTACTAAAATAAAAAATGCTTAGAGTTATACAAACTCCAAAAAAGATCGTAAATAAATATAAATTTTAAAATGATTTTCCAAAAATCTAGCTAACTGCATCGATATCATGACCTCCACTTCTCCTAATGTGACTACAAGTCAGACCAACTCTTCCTCTGCTGCAGCTGAGTTCTGGGAGTGGGTATTCACTTTTTTTAAAGCCTCTTCAACATGATTTATATAATTACAGGAAGATTTTTGTGCCTTTTTTTTCGTAATCCCTCCTTTTCTATTCTGTTTTATGCAGATTTCAATTAATTTGCTAATGAATGAAATAAGTAGATCACAAACATCTGCAAGAATAGTAGTTTCAGAAAATTCTGCAGCAAATTTCCATGCTAAAAATTTAGTTTTGCACCAGAACCTCACAAGTAACACGTGAGTCTTATTCCATCTGTACAACTGTTGATTTCAGATCACATGTCTCTGTTTAACATCCTTAGACGCCGGGTATTAGGCATGTCTGCAGGCATTGAGGAGCTGGGTGCTGTGAGATGGGAGCTCGCTGGTTGTCTTCTAGCCTGCTGGGTGTTGTGTTACTTCAGCATCTGGAAAGGTGTCAGGTCCTCTGGAAAGGTCTTAATAAAAGACGTAAAACCTTCAGTTTTATTTGCATATCCTGCTCCAATGCACTCTGATTGATGGCATAGTTAAAGATTTGTAAATACTCTTCACAGTAATTTGAGATTAACATTATTGACATATCAACCATTGAATTTTAGTAAATTTATTTAGATGTGAAAATAAAGTAAAACAATTAAAGGTGCCACAATTGTGGGCCTCGGTTAAAAACCTTAAATTCCTTAAATCAAATTTAATTAAAAAAATTCACAAATCATGTTGAGTTTTTTTAAATTTGATAGAACACTATACGAGTAATGCATAACAACAATAAAATACATATATATGTGTGTCTTTGCTATGCAAAATGTCCTTGATACGCAACATATGTATGAAGGGCTTGATGCTGCATAGAACTCTACAGACTTAACATTAACTGTTGTGTTTTTGTTTCAGATTGCCTATTTTACTGCCACATTCCCCTATGTGATGCTCCTGGTATTACTTATCAGGGGTCTGACCTTACCTGGGGCATGGCAAGGGATCTACTATTACCTACTTCCTGATTTAAAACGGTTGGCTAATCTGGAGGTGACTATTGTGTAATGATTAAAGGCTTAAGGATCATTGTTTATTGTACTTCAGTTTGATAAACTTACAACAACGCTTCTTAATTATTGCAATTAGTATTACAGGTGTACAGAGATGACAAAAGTAATCACCTTCCTTACATGAGTAAAAGTACAGATACTTGTGTTAAAAATACTCTGGTAAAAGTTGAAGTACTGATTAAACTTATTTACTCAAGTAAAAGTAACAAAGTACAGGCTTGTAAATTTACTTAAAGTATAAAAGTAAAAGTAGAAACCACTTTTTTCATGCCGTTGCCTACATTTTAAATGGATGTCTGCCAATAGGACTAGATCTCCGTTGTGTTCATTTTCAATCATCTCGTTGTCCATACTACTATGCGAACGCCACCGCCACCAAGCTGCAATGATTTGCCGCCAATGAATACCGCCGAATCTGTTGATTCATCTTGTAGTGGTGCGTCAAATGCAACGTAGATTCCCATCCAATTAGATTGAATTTGGTATTGATGACGTGAAAAATAATAACGGTAACTCCATTGAAATGATTCAAAACTAAAGTAACGAGCCAATTTTTTAAAATGTAAGGAGTAGAAAGCACAGATATCTGTGTAAAAATGTAAGGAGTAGAAGTAAAAAGTCGCCATAAAAATAAGTAGTAAAGTAAAGTAAAAATATCAGAAAAATCTACTTGAGTACAGTAACCAAGTATTTGTACTTCGTTACTTCCCATCTCTGGAGGTGTATTGCTCTCCTGTCACAACTGTGATGACTCAGTGCTGGGGATGCTTAATTTATGTAGTCTTCCTTAACTTGTTTTTCAGTTTTACCACTATGCAGATGACATACTGCTGTATTTCTCAGCTACTGCGATTCTATCGTTTTAAAGGAATTCAAAGTCTCTGATAGTCTCTATACCTCTCACTCACAATGATTGTTTGGTTGTTTGTCAAGTCATTTTTGGTAATTAACTTTCCTTTGGAAAAATAAAAAAAAACTTATTAGCTACTGTTATTTTTTATGCAACATCAACCAACTATAACAATCTTTTAATATCTTAAATAATTTGAGTACAGTTTTACATAATTCTAACCAATTATTTAGCATTTAGAATTGACTAATTATGTACAATTTATTAAATAATTATTATTTTGTTGCTGTTGTGGTGGTTTCGTTCAGGTCTGGATAGAAGCAGGATCCCAAATCTTTTTCTCCTACAGCCTAACTGCAGGAACAATTAATGTCTTGGGAAGTTACAATGAGTATAATAATGACTGCTACAAGTAAGTCATCATTTTCTTTGCATCTTTAACTTGAAAATATAAACTCCTGTCTAACATTTGCTATATCATGAAATAAATTCTTCCCACAGAGACTGCTTTTGGCTCTGTCTGCTGAACAGTGGGACAAGTTTTGTTGCTGGATTTGTCGTCTTCTCTGTATTGGGATTCATGGCTCAGAAACAGGGTGTGACGGTTGACACAGTGGTGGAGTCAGGTATTTAAATGTGTTATTAAAGAAAAGAATTTTGAAGACCAAGAACTTCTTAAAAATACTTGTCTGAACCTCAGGTCCAGGATTGGCCTTCATTGCTTACCCTCAGGCTGCAGCCATGATGCCTTTACCACAGTTCTGGAGCTTCTGCTTCTTTTTGATGCTGATTCTGCTTACAGTTGACACACATGTAAGATATGATGGTTGCTTGACTATATTCATAATAACTGATATACTTTTAATGCTTAATTTGCTTTGTTTCACCCCCAAGTTTGTCATAGTGGAGAGTTTTATCACCACTGTAACCGACTTGTTTCCAAAATTGTTTCGTGTGCCAGTGAAGCATGAGATCTTTGTCCTTTTTATCTGCTTATCAAGTTTTCTGGTACATCTGACTTTGGTAACCGAGGTAAATATATATATATATATTTCCTTTCATGACAATACCTGCAAAACCAAGAAAACACGATTTACCTTGAATATTTTTTTAATGTTTGATTTTATTTTATTTTGTCCTATAGGGTGGAATTTACATCTTCCAACTGATAGATTTTTACGGCTCCACCAGAGTTTGCCAGAATTTTATGGCAATATGTGAATGTCTGGCTGTGGGTTGGATAATTGGTAAGAACAGATCAATACGCTACAATTTACAGTAAATTACCTAAATTACCTTTTTGTTGTTCAAGATCTTTTTTTCCCCCTCATATTCCTTTTGTAACATTTGACCAGATTATCCTTTTAAAATTTTATTAGGTGCTGACCGTTTTTCTGAGACCATTGAGGATATGACAGGGAAGAGACCTTCAGTTTTCTTTAAAGTATGCTGGAAATTTCTCATTCCTCTCCTATCATTGGTGAGTCTAAAAAGTCTAAGATTTTTATAGAAGTTCTTAAGCTGCGGTAGGTTAGATTAAAACCTAGACATCGATCTGGTTTCACTGTTTGTGCTTTTTTTCCCCATTATTTTTTCACATATTTTGAATCCATCTTGATTGTGCGAAAAAAGTGTTTAATGAGCAATATTAAACACAGCAACATGTGTTTTTGGTGATTCCAAAGAAACTTTATGATTGTTTTCTTCTCTGCACAGTTTTAAAGAATGTCATCAAGGTATGGCGACCTGGTCCTTATAAACTTACAGCAGGTTCCATACAAGCATGCTTGGTGTGAGGGATTGCTTCAAGTCAATGAGTCATGCAATCAGCTGGTTTTCCTTAGATAGAAAACTTTGAACCAATCTGACTATGATCTGGTTGAATTGTCTCTGTAAAGTGCCTTGAGATGACATGTGTTGTGAATTGGCTGTATATAAAAGTGGAGACCTAACCTCAGACAGAGGTTCAGTACCTGCCAAAAGCCATAAAGTTCAACAATCTTGGTTCTTGTTTATAAAGGAAGGTAGCATGGCGATGCAGATGACTGGGGCCCTACATGAGGTGATGTAGGTTTAGCATTGTTCTGTTGTTGTGAAGAAAAAAAATGAACCTATAAAGGTTTATCTTTCAATTTCAAGAAAAGTCTGTCTATCAGTTGTCATAAGATGGGGATCATAACTGAAAAACTGAGCTACCAGATACAAACAGGCAAAATCAGCTACCAGTGGAGGCAGCCATTTGATATATGGAGAGGAGCTCCATCATCGGGATGCTTGGAATAGAGCTGCTGCTCCTCTGCATAAAAAGAACTCAGCCGATGTAGAACAGCCATCTACTTAGGAAGCCTCCTGGGCAAGATAATAGTGATGGATGGACGGATGGACAGACACTCTTGTGAAAATGTTTTCCTACTCTGCTTCAGTTTTAAAAGCACATTTTATTTTCTTAATCTTTATTTTGAACATTAAAATTATCTTTTCCAGCAATATCAGTTGGTCTACAAAATATTTAACCTTAAACTTAGTTATTTCTTCATGTAACTTGTCAGGTTTCCCTCATCTTGTATCTGGTTGATTACCAACACCTAAGGATCAACGACTGGTATGTTTACCCTGACTGGTCTTATGCACTGGGGTGGATCCTGACTCTGTCCTCTGTAGCCATGGTGCCTCTTTGGGCAGTTGGACAGCTGTGCGTTACAACAGGAACCATCAGACAGGTCAGGGGAAACAAAAGGAACACTGAATCCATATATACACAATAAGAGATTTCCTGAAACTTAAAACAAAAGATAATTTCTTGTTTTCTAGCAACTGTCCATCCTTTGCTGTCCTGCTGATAATCTGATCCCACAGAGAAAAGAAAGAGATGAAACAAGAGGAGACATGCTGGAACATCTGCAGATGTCTGATGAAATATAACTCGCAAAAAAAGCAAACATCGTGGGGAGCCCAGGGAGCAGTTTGGGGTTAAGGGTCTTGCTCAGGGACCCAGAGTGGCAGTCTGTGGGACTCGAACTCAGAACCTCAGGATTCCAAACTCTATGCCCTATCACTCCCCACATTTAAGTGAATTAGTGAATTTGTTTTGGATTATCTACTGTTGATCTTTAATGGCCATTTATATTCAACACAGACACCGTTTTCTCTTGGAATTTGAAGTATTTTGTGAGATTTTAAAAATGTTTTTAACATTTGGTAAGCAGTCGGTGGATTAAATCAATATAATTAAACCCTATGACTAAAATCAGTGTTTACCTGCATGTCTAAGTTTAAGATGATTTATTTTTCTTGATGAAAACTTCATATGTCATAATCTCTAAGTTTTCTTGTTATATCACAGCACACATTTCCAGTAGAGCCTTGTTCTGGAAAATATATATTTTTTCCTTCCTGAGATGTTTCTTTCTGAGATTAGCTGTACATATAACATTAAACTGGACTAACTTTAAAACTGGAAATCAAATATGTTCTTTTAGTTTTATTTATATTGACTATTTTTCTCTGACAGAATGCTTTATATTTCAAATTTTGGGAATATTTTTCTCTTGATTAGAATAATTGGTAACTTTTAGTTCTATTTAATTGATCCCTTCACCTTTTTTCTCTCTTTGCCTTTTTATACTAGTTTATTTATTTATTTTTTTACCTTACAGGACAGGATAGAACCCCATAACCTCCACACACTCCAAAAATTGTTGACAAGATCAGGTTTACAGAAAAAAATATAGTGATAAACGTTGAACAAGTTCCATGGAAAATAATTGAGTTTAGTGTCAAATTTGCTCCTAAGGCCTTACAGGTTGTTATCACGCCTGTGAGCTTGTCGCACTCTGCAACACTGTGCCAGGAAAGCTCCCAAAATCCTCTCAAATGTGTTCTGTCAGTTGGTTTGTGTTTACAAAGTCATTTTATTTGAATTACTGACTGCATTTCTCTGAGCCAGTAGGCAAACATGATTGTGGTGGTGGAAGACTACTGGTTAAAAGAATATGTTTCTTTCCAACCAATGTCCCTTACTGATGTTATGCTGTAGATCAGAAGTATGTAAAGAGCATCTAATGAAGGCCAGGATGGGGTTAGGATAAACGTGCAGCAAACAGGAAATCAAGCAGTTTAGGTTGGAGCCAGAAAAGAGGTGGTAGTGGCCTTCGGCAATAAGGCACTTATCAAATAAAAGGGACAAAGATGTGTTTTTTTGTTTGTTTGTTTTTTATTCTGCAAGCTGTGTAGTACCTTGAACTGAATTATCTGATATTGTGAGTTAATAGAGCAACAATGAACCAAAAACAGGCCCTCCTCCCAACGTTTTCCTGATATTACAGAGTTCAAGTCCCTAGCCCAAGGGTCCCAATTGAATCAAAGGAAACTTTGTTGGTGAAAGAGCTGAGAAAGGTTGATATTAGCTGCCTAGTGTCCAGGGAGAGCAGGATGCTCTTGATAAAATGATGAGAGGCGGGTTTAAAATCCAGATGGATGATTCTTCTTCACATATCTGACTTCAAGATAACAAAAACTGTGATAATTGGAGCTGGCATCCAATTGATAGTGCTTAAAATCAGGCCCAAACCTTCCTTATTGGTAAGTTTATAAACCTAATATACCCTTGTGTAAATTGTAGCCACCCATAAAGAACAGTATAATTGAATACAGCTTCTTAAAAAACAGATGCATTATAAATATGGAGAAATTTACAAAAAAGTAGAAGAGCTTGGTTCTTCAAGACTCAGCAGATTCTGTAAAATTAGCTTTGAAAAGGTTTTTTATTTAGTTTAATCCCCAGATAAGAATGATTTAGAAGGTATCTGCTATACAGCAGATGAAATAAGTATCGAACACGCTACCTTTTTTCATAGTAAATATATTTTTAGAGGCGCTATTGACATGATTATGTTCAACAGATGTAGGTAACAATCCACAGAAATGTATATATTTTAGTGGAATTGGTACAGAGACAATTGAATCATCTATGTAGCAGATAATATGCGTACAGGTTCACATAAGTCTCTGTGTCACCTAACTTGATGTCTTTAAGGTGTAGCTCTCCTTTAATGCCAAAGACCAGAGGCTCCAGCTCTAAAATAAACAGCAGGATGCACTACGGGTTCCCTGACACGAGGCAGAGAGAGCAGATTGGATATCCCCATTCTTCCTAATTGATGATTTTTTGATGATTTTAACCCAATCTATGAAAGTGACCCTGAGGCCAAATTTCTCAAGCATCATAAACATAATAAGGCCACTCTATCACATCAAACATCTCAAGAGCATCTAAACACAAAACGCTCTTCTATTACCTGTTCCTGTCATGGTTTTGGTTCTGTTTAAGTTTTATCTTTGAGTTTTCACTGGTTTTATCTCAGTTTTGTGTTATTCTAGTTAATTTTTATTGTATTTGAGTTCTTAGGTATTTCTTATTTTCCCTCTTGTATCAGTCTCCATTTCCCCTTTATCCCTTCTAGACTCCTCTGTTCACACCTGCTCCCAATCTGCTGATACGCCTGGTCTTTGTTTTTCTCTCCCATATATGCACCTCCTGCTCAGTCACTGTTGCTGGTTTGCCGTAATTTCTTTGCCCCTTGTTGTGAGTATTCCTGGTTCTCAGTTTTTTGGGGATTTATGTTTTTTGTATTTTTGCCTTTTTTGAATTTTTTGGATAAAAAATCTGCAAGTAACCTCCAGCTTCAGTCTCTGCATTTGGGTCCTTTTTACAAGCTTTACAGAAGGAAAGCCCGGCTGAATAAATCCTTTTTGGTCCAACTGAATTTGGTTTCTTTTTCTTCTCTTTCTTTGTTTATGTCTCTTTTTTCCCACTCTGTCTCATATCTTTTTTTTTCTTGCCCTTTCTTCTTTTACTAATCCTATTCCATCTGACAGCTCAAAGACTCCAAATCCCTGAGCCTCCAGGAAACAGAAAGACAGCATAACAAATAAGGACAAAACAAACTGCCACCTACTATAGAATAAAACCCCACAGAAAACATTTCTTCACACGATGCATTATGTAAGGGTCAACCCCAATCCCAGACATCTCACACAGCGCAAAGCTCAAAAGGGAGCAGCAGCTAAGGGCCAGAAATGGAGCGCATGCAATAAAATATCAAGCACTAATCTAGAAAGCATCACCCTTAGAGCACAGCAATAACAATGAAGCATGGTGCTGCCACCGTCATGCTGTGTGGGGGATTTTCCACAGCAAGAAGAAGAATCCAGACTAAATGGAGAATGCTGTATGTGCCAAGAATTGGAAAAATTATGCCAACAGATGCTCAATATTTGAGTCGGACTGAGTCAGAGCTATTTGTACCACAATTTTTTGATATGTGTTTTGAAATCTGAGTTACATATTCAGATTAACAATCATGCAGCACTTTCATTAGCATTAGTGTACCACCAATATTCACAAAGTAAAGAGTTGGTGAAGAAAAGAAAGTCTTTATAAGAGACTGTATATACAGTATCATTCGTTTGCTGTAAACACTTGTAAAGTACTTTTTTGATCGTATTTTTTCTGATAGAAGTTCAGAAAATGTGTGAAAATAGAATTAAACAAAATATTTGGAAGTTCTCCTTTGATTTTTTGATTTTTTATTTAGTGAACCTCATTTGAGGACATGTTACATTTTTTATTTGGCTAAAATGACACAATAATACCTTTGTTTTGTTTTAGTGCTGCATTCATTCATTTTAATGTATCTATACTACTTTATACATTATTTTCCTTTGATAAAACACAGCTAAATAACACTTAAGTCACAACTCTTTTTGTATTTTGAAAGACAGTAATTGTTATAGCAGCATAAGAAGGATACGGTCATATTGTCATCTCTTTGCATTAAGTCTCATTGATGCCCACCTCCTAATGCATTCACAGTGAAAATAAATCTTCAGTACAAGCAACATGACTGTAATGAGCGAGACACAGCTGTCGAGTAAGAGGCTTAGCTGGATGCTGAGCTGTATCCCACACTGTGGGGGGGTGGTGCTCAGATGAATATGTAACTCTTTTTGTGAATGAATCTCTTAAGTGTTTTTTGTTTTTTTTTCCGTGTTCTAACCATTTTCTTACTTGAAAAATACAGAAGGAAACAAGAGCTTAAAGAAAAGCTTTCCTTTTATCCCAGTGTGCCAGATGAGAGGCAGCAGGCATTGTGTTGCACAGAGACTTGCTCTGTAATATTTACACTGCCCAGTTACCCCACCCTCTGACTCTTTCTGTGAACACACAAGTGGGCCAGTAGAACTGGTATTTGGATTAGCTAAGCACTGTAACATGTAAAAGGATATCCTGTGGTGTTTCTGGGAGTGGTCTGGAAATGTGGACAAGCACTGGTGGTTTACCATTGCTTTTTGCTCCATGAGGGCATCTGTTGAATGAGATCAGACATGATGCATTTTTTCTGTTGTTGAAGAGGAACTTCTACAGCTGCAACCTCTACAGTATTCAGCCCTCAAGACAGCTGATTCACAGGATAAAGTTACTGTACAACCCACATGCAGTGCAACAAAGACACCACTGTTACTAATATTTCCTTTAAAGCAAATTAGATAAACCCATCTTCCACGTCAGAACACTGTCATCTAATCCAGTGTTTCACTCAGAATTCAAGACACTGGAAATGTTTAGAGAATATCTGATATCCTTTACTGATTTGCTTGAATTTCCAATTTTTTCCAGGCAAATGTGTGCATTTTTTCCATGCACATTGTTCAGTAGGCACCGCTTGCTAAGATCCAATAAAGTGTGTGAAATGATCTCCAGATATTTTGGCCTTTATTGAAGTGGGAGCATCACACAGTTGCTGCAGATTGTGCCAGCTGCACATGCATGATGCGAATCTTCCATTCCAACTAATGCCAAAGCTGCTTTGTTGGACTAAGGTCTAGAGAATTGGAGGCTATTGAAGGCCACTGAACTTACTGTCATGATTTAAAAGCCAGTTAATGTTGATTTTCTCTCATCTGAAACAGTGCTTTCCATCCTCCTCTGACCTCTGAAATCA